AATAAGTGTGGTAGGAAGTGAGGTAATGCCTCTGGAGTATGGTGGGATGGACTCAGAGAGCAGTCCATCTAGTTCGAAGAAAATGGTGGAAGGGGTGGGAGGAGGTGAGGGAGTGGGAGGAGGGGAGGTAGTTAGGAGTGGAGGAGACAGTGCACCCATCACTGTGGTAGAAGTGGAGGGTAGGAGAGAGAGGTGCTATGATGCAGACGCAGACATAGTGGAGGGGGTAAAGCAGTATAAATCTGAACTCGGGACCAGGGATAGCCTGGGTTACTTAGTAGAGAGTTATGAGATTTCATCCCGAGTTCTGATTAGGCCAACTGGGGTAGAGGAGAGGGAGTGCTCTGCTCCTCGAGATCATTGGATGCCCGTGTATGCCCACTATTTGGTAGCTGGGCTTAGGTTTCCAATTCCTGAGTTGCTAGTAGGTTTGTTGTTAGACTATAGTATAGGATTGACACAGTTAGTCCCCAATGTTATGAGGGTAATAATAGGGTTTTTAGTTTATTGCCGAGCTCAGGGGATTAATGTGCCAATTGTATATATGTTTAAGTATTTTTTTGTTTTGAAGGGGGGTAGTAGGAAAGATAAGGGGTGGTATTACTTCACCCCTAGGGTAGCAAATAGGGAGAGTAGAGCGTTATTTACTGCGGGTCCTTCATCCATTAAAGGATGGAAGGAAAAATTCTTCTTTATAGATGATATGACGTGGGAGAGGGGGGATACCGAGGTGGAGGACTTATCATCCTAGAAGGCTAAAAGAGCCAACCAGAATAAGTTTAGTTTAAATAAGGATGAGGAGGAAGAGGTGGGGAAGTTGGTGAGGAAGGGGGGCTTTTATTAAACATCATGGACCTTACCAGCACAGAATGCATAGAAGCTACTGAGCTCTATGGGCTAAGTGCTTTAAGTGAAGGTTTGTTTAATTTGCATTGTAGTACTAAATGTAGAATATAGAATTGTGTGATTAATACTGTGTGTTTCTTGTTCTGCAGCTGAAATGGACAAATTTTTGGGCACTGTAGGAGGAGTAGCCATCCCCAAGAAGCCAAGGAAGAAGTCAAGGACTTCAACCAAGCAAGTGGATGAGGGAGGAGTTGGAAAGGAGGTAGTGCCTAGCATTCCAGCCGAGGTGGATGAGGAGGAGCCACGGTTGGAGTTGAAGAGGAAGAGTAGGGAGGAAAGATGGGCACTACAAAAGAAGAAGAAGGTGGTGAAGGAGGAGGAGAAGGGGAGTGAGGTTCCCCAGTTCGTACCTCGGCCTCCTCCTATTGAGCTCAACCTTGAGCTCAGGGAGTTTGAGGAGGGGGTTGAGGTATGAGCTCCCGGCAAGGGAAAGGGCCTTGTTCCCCCTTTGTCTTTCCAGAGCAGTCTGTTCGAGGCGAAGAACATGACAGGGGCTAGGAGGTTTATCAACGCCAGCTTCCCCACCTTCCCCAAAGTGGACAAGCGTCATGCGCGGGACGAGACTCTGAGGTATTGTGGGGCTTCGGTGGTGAAGCACATTTTAGAGGTATGTTAAGTTATTTGTATGTATTGGTGTTGTTTGTTTGTTTATTCTCTTTCTTCTTCTCTCCCCCCCCCTTTTTTAACTTCTGCTTTGAATTGCAGAGCGCGAGTTGGGTGAATGGTTTAGTTAGGAGTTCATGGAAAGTGTGAAGGAGTGCTCCCTCTTACAAAGGCAGTGTGACCAACTGCAGAAGGAGAAGGAAGAGTTGGAGAAGTAGAATAAGGAGATGCAAGAGGTGCTGGACAAGGTGGTTCCAGCTGTGAAACAGTTAGAGCAGGAAAAGGCTTCCCTGAGCACCAAGCTCGTCTTTGAGGAGAGTAAATGAAGAATCTCTGAAAGCAAGCGTGAGACTCAGGAGAAGGAAATAAGGCTGATGAAGGAGGCTTATATGGAGCTGAAGAAGAATGTGCAGTTGCTGGTGCACAATGGGATGGAGGAGCACATCAGCAACTTCATCAGCTCCAGCTCGTTTGACAATATTGTCAACCTATACCGACTTCCAACTGCCATCATCGTCTTCACAGACTGCAGAAAGAAGGTGAAGGCTGAATATCCCGAGGTGGATATTACAAAGATCACTTTCGGCGAGCAAGAAAAAGGAGTGGAGGAGAATGGTGAGAGCATGTTAGCAGACTTCCGTCCTCATATCAACTTGAAGTGGGAACATGATGCAGACAGGCGCACTGTTTTCCCTCCAACTTTCGACTTCGAGTTTGTTGTAGTGGAGGAAGATGTGGCAGAGGTAGAGGAAGACGAAGTGAAGGCAGGAGTGGAAGGAATTGAAGTGGATGAGAGCCAACCAGTTCCAGAAGTGGAGATTCATCCAGTTCCTTCTAACGATGAGCAGCCTCATCTGCTAAACGAGCAGCAGCCATCACAGCCACCTTTTCCAGCTGAGCAGGAGTCAGTTCAACCACCTCCTCCAGCAGAGAAACAATTTTTGTTTGTTGTTTTTTCTTTGATGCTTTTATTGTAACAACAGTAAAACAATCTGTTGTAATAGTTTTTACTTTGAGTGAAAATTCAGGTTTGAAATCATATGTTGTGTTTGCTTTACATTTTTGTTATTTTATATTGATAGAAGAGCTGAGATTACTTGAGATGTGTTTGGAGGGAAAGTTAATCATTTCAAAGATGAAATAAAAAGAAGTTAACCACTTTAGAAATGAACCAAAGAGAAGTAGGCCACTTAAGACGAATTAAGAAGAAGTAAATCACTTTAGATGAATTAAAAAGAAATAAAGCACTTCATATGCGAAGTGACATTCATTAATAGGAGTGACGTTCAAGGAATGAGTATTAAACAGATTGATCTCGGATATATAGAATAAGAGGTAAAATGAATCTTAACAATCGCGAAGTAATAAGTATAAAGGGTAATAAGACATCGATCACTTGAAAGAAGTTTATTAGGGGTAAAATTTCTTCAAGGTGTTGACATTCCAGACTCTAGGAACTCTCTTTCCTTAAGCGTCTTGGAGGACAAAGGCACCAGGATGGGGCACTTCGGCCACCGTATAAGGACTTTCCCAATTTGGGGCTAGTTTGCCAAAATGAGTTTCAAACCCTGTTAGGCCAGCTTTTTTGAGAACAAGGTCTCACACGTTGAATGTTCGAGGGTGGACTCGTTTGTTGTAGAAGTTGGCTAATTTCTACTTATATACAAGACTTTAAAGTCGTGCTTCTTCTCTGACTTCGGCAAGTAGATCAAGGTTTTCCTGAAGCAGTTGTCCATTTTGTCCTTCATCGAAATGGGTGACCCAAAAGCTTGGGACTCCTATTTCAATAGGAATGACTGTTTCGGTACCGAAGGCCAGGTGGTAGGGTGTTTCACCTATTTCATGAAATTATATGCTTTAGAATATGCTTTACATATTATGCATATTTGATCTAAGGTAGAATCTCAGGTGAGGGAGTGAGATAGAATGGAAATAGAATGAAAGGATCTTGGGTTAAAAATAGTACATGTTGCAGTTCTGCTCGTTGTTCTGTATGCCCAGAGAACGTTGTTGAGCTCGTCTGCTCACTTGGCCTTGTGCTGTTCCAATCTCGGCTTTATTCCTTCTAACATGCATTTATTAACAAATTCTACCATACCATTGGACTTCGGATGATAAACCGAGGTGAACTGCAATTTGATCCCGTAGTTGGAACAAAAATCTCGGAAGGAGGAGCAATTGAATTGAGTTCCATTATCAGCCACAATCTGATTCGGGATCCCATATCTGCAAATGATCGAGCTGAAAACAAAGTCTTTGACCTTCTTGGAGGTAGGATTGGATAATGGCCGAGCTTCAACCCATTTTGTGAAATAATCCACACCAACAATCAGATGGGTTACACCACCAACCCCTTTCATGAATGGGCCCAAAAGATCTAGTCCCCATTGAGCAAATGGCCATGGTGCTATCAAGTTCATAAGCTCTTTTGCTGGTTGGTGAGTGTGATGTGCAAAGAATTGGCATTTTGGGCATCTCTGAACAAAGTGAGTGGCATCTTTGTACATGTTTGGCCAGTAATATCCCTGCCTTAAGACTTTGTGAGCCAAAGTTCTAGCACCAATGTGGCTCCCACAAACACCTTCATGTATCTCCCGAAGTGCGTACTCAGCTTCGTAGGGATTTAAGCATCGTAGAAGAGGGAGTGAGAAAGATCTTTTATAAAGGACCCCATCAACAAGTGTATACCGAGATGCTTTCTTCCTCAACCTCATTGCCTCTTGCTTGTCTTCAGGTACTGTTTCGTCTCGTAAAAAGGAGATAATTGAGTCAGTCCAGCTCGGCGTGTCTGGGTCTGTGCTGATCTCCATCATCCGCGGCTTCATGAAACTTGGTTCATCTAAGACCTCCACAAAAACTGATCTGGAACTTAAAGAGCTATTAGAGGCAAACTTAGAGAGTGAATCTGCCTGTTCATTCTCAGTTCGAGGAATTTTGCTCAGACAAAATTTCTGGAATTTGCATTTCAGGTCGGCCACCAGGGCTACATATTTCACCATCACAGGATCAACGACTTCGTAGATTGAGTTGATTTGGTTCACCACCAGCTGGGAGTCATTGTATACTTGAATCGCGTTGATTTTCAACTCCAATGCTAGTTGCAGACCAAGTAGTAGGGCTTCATACTCAGCCATGTTGTTTGTTGCATCAAAGTTAAATTTTAGAGCATGCTTACTTCGGTATCCATCTGGGCCAATCAAGAGAGCACCAGCTCCTGAACCTTTGTTATTAGATGCCCCTTCAACATATAAGGTCCAGTCGTTAGGTTTTGGATTAGGGGTTGAATGACATGGAGTGCATTCTACAATAAAATCTGCCAATGCTTGAGCTCAGATTGCAGATCTCTATTGAAATGTTATCTCGAATTCCCCCAATTCTACTGCCCACTTAATTAATCTTCCGGAGCACTCTGGCTTCCGCAGAAT